TGTGTGTGTGTGTGTGTGTGTGTGTGTGTGTGTGTGTGTGTGTGTGTGTGTGTGTGTGTGTGTGTGTGTGTGTGTGTGTGTGTGTCATTGTGTGTGTTGCTCGTTGGGAGAAGAAATGGTGAATTGTCGTACTTCTTTGGCCCATGTGTGGGCAACTGCTCATTGCTGGCGCTGATGTGTGTGTGTGTGTGTGCGTGTGTGTGTCGATACAACAGGCCGCTGGCTTGGATGTGACGACGCCGGAGCCGCTGCCCACCTCCCACGAGCTCTTCCAGCTGCCAAACTGCGGTGAGGGCGTGGCGTGGAAGGCATTACGTGTTGCGCATTGTTTGTATGCGTGGATGTGTGCTGTTCCTGTTTGTTCATGTGGGGAGCAATCAACCCCGCAAGCGCACATGTCACACAACGACGTGTATGCACCTTGCACGTTCCCTCACTCACTCACTCACTCACTCACTCACTCAATCACTCAATCACTCACTCACTCACTCACTCACTCACTCACTCACTCACACACGTGCGCTACAGTGATTCTGCCGCACATTGGGAGCGCGACGGTTGAGTGCCGTACAGTCATGTCGAAGCTCGCCGCCGAGAACGTCATCAACGGCATGTCTGGCGACGCCATGCCCGCCCAGGTGGAGTGATGTGATGTGACAGAGCACAGCGCCGTGCTGCTGCGTTGTCTCAAGTCATTGCACACGCGCGCCAACAAGTGAGCAAACTGCTGAGGAACACACAACTCATCAACAGCAAGGAGGAGGAAGCACATTCCGTTTGCCCTCTCCTTGAACGGTTCACGACAGCACATAAACAGGTTTTCCAGAAGCGCAGCCGTTCGCGCATTTTCGAGAACGATGATGATGACGATGCTGAAGAGAAAAGACAAAACCAAAACAAAAGCCACGTGTTTGCAGTGTGATGATGGCGGCTCTGTGCGTGTGTGTGTGTGTGTGTGTGTGTGTGCGTGTGTGTGTGTGTGTGTGTGTGTGTGTGTGCGTGTGTGTGTGTGATGAGAGGGGTGGGCAACGGTGGTGTGCTCTTGCTTTTCCATCGATGCTTTCCACCACCAGGCATGCGCGTCGCAAAAGGCTTCATTTTCTCCTGGCACACAGCATCGCCCCCCAGCAACCAGCTTGCTGTTGCTCAACTGTGACAACGCGCGCGCAGCGTGCTAGCGTTGCATCTGGAGAAGGCTCATCATGGTGAAGGAGACGCGGCTGTACGACGTGCTTGGCGTGAAGCCAACGGCCACCCAGAATGAAATCAAGAAGGCCTACCGCAAGCTCGCCATGCGCTACCACCCTGACAAGACAGACGGCACCACAGAAGAAAAGGTGTGTGTGTGTGTGTGTCTGCAGTTGTGTGTGTGTGTGTGTGTGTGTCTGCAGTTGTGTGTGTACGTGTGTGTGTCTGCAGTTGTGTGTGTGTGTGTGTCTGTGTCTGTGTGTCTGTGTCTGTGTGTGGTTGTACTTTTGTGTGGTCGTCCCCGCATGTACCCGCCTGCACATCCCTGTATGCGTCTGTGTGTCAACTTGACCCACCTTTCTACTTCGTCCCGTTTGTCCTCGACAGAAGCACGTTTCCATTGTCTTGCCACTCTTACGCAAAACACGTGCGCGCGCACGCTCTCTTCTTCTCTTGCTTCACCTCGCCTACAGTTCAAGGACATCTCGTTTGCGTATTCGGTGCTGAGCTCCGACGAGAAGCGCCGCATTTATGACCAGGGCGGCGAGCAGGCCATCAAAGAAGGCGGTGCTTCGTCGTCCGCTGCCAGCGCACACGACATCTTCGACATGTTTTTCGGCGGCGGTGGCGGCCGAAGGGAGCGACGCACACGCACCATGGTCCACGAAGTCAACGTGAGTCCGTTGTGTGTGTTTGTGTGTGTATATGTGTTGTGTGTGTATGTGTGTGTTGTGTTGTGTATGTGTATATGTGTTGTGTGTGTGTGTGTGCGTGTGTATATATGTTTGTGTGTGTGTGTTTTGTGTTGTGTATGTTGTATGTGTGTTTTGTGTTGGATACAAACCTTGTTCCTTCCTTTCCTGCATTCCTCTGATCACTCGAACGGACTCACATGCACCATGTCACGCTCGTGCCCACAGGTGACGCTTGAGGAGCTGTACAAAGGAAAGACGGTGAAGCTGGCTGTGCAGCGGCAAAAGGTTTGCTCCGGCTGTGACGGCTCCGGCGCCAAATCCTCAGGCAGCAACACAACATGCAGCAAGTGCGACGGACAGGTGCGTTCTGTGTGTGTGGGGGGGGGGGGCGTGTATGTTGTGTGTGTGTGTGTGTGTGTGTGTGTGTGTGTGTGTGTGTGTGTGTGTGTGTGTGTGTGTGTGTGTGTGTGTGTGTGTGTGTGTGTGTGTGTGTGTGTGCATTTCTGTCTCTCTGCATCTACACCCCGATGTTGTGTCCACTCGTTCTACCGACAAGTTGCTGCCAGTACTCACCGCCCAACACATTATGCCACCCAACACAGGGGGTGGAGGTACGGCTCCGTCAGCTTGGGCCCGGCATGGTGCAGCAGCTGCAGACGCAGTGCTCAAAGTGCAACGGCACGGGCACATATGTGGCGCCCGGCGACCGCTGCCCGTCATGTAAGGGCAAGCGCGTTGTTCCGGAGCGCAAGATCATCACCGTCAACATTGAACGTGGCATGAAGGACGGCGACAAGGTGTGTGGTGATGTGTCCGTTGACGGATGTTGGAACGTCTATTCTGCATGACGTAACGCGTGGCTCCTGCTCGCGTCCAAACATTCCTTGCTCACGCCACTCTGCAACATTGTCTCACATGTGTGTGTGTGTGTATGTGTACGTATGTGTGTGTCTGTGTGTGTCTGTGTGTGTGTGGGTGGTTGGGTGTGTGTGTGTGGGTGTGTGTGTCTCTGTGTCTGTGTGTGTTCCCTCAGATCACGTTTGAAGGGCTGAGCAATGAGGAGCCCGGGGTCAAGACCGGGGACATTATTATCGTCATCAACGAGAAGAAGCACGCCGTTTTCCAGCGACGCGCCGCAGACCTCATCATGGAACAGGTGTGGCGTGTGCGTATGGGGTGTGTGTGTGTGTGTGTGTGTGTGTGTGTGTGTGTGTGTGTGTGTGTGTGTGTGTGTGTGTGTGTGTGTGTGTGTGTGTGCGTGTGTGTGTGTGTGCGTGTGTGTGTGTGTGTGTGTGTTCCCTGCTATTGCGATTGCTGCTGCTGCTGCTTCTGCTTCTGTGCATCGTGCTTGTTATGTCACCAGCCACAGCCGAGCACTGACACCCCTGTTTCGATTACTGCACTGCAATATCCTGCGCGCACGCCACCACAGGAGATTGAGCTTGTGGATGCGCTGTGCGGGTTCCAGAAACAGATCCGGCACCTTGACGGCCGCCCGCTCGTGCTCACGTCCCCGGCTGGGGAGGTCGTTCCACACGGCACCATCAAGATGGTGGAGGGCTGCGGCATGCCCACCCGCCGCGGATACCCGGAGTACGGCGACCTGTATGTTGCATTCAAGGTGAAGTTCCCCAAGTCTGGGTTTGCGTCGCCGGCCAAGCTGAAGAAGCTGGAGGCGCTGCTGCCGCGACGACGCGCGGGCACGGATATGATTGATGGCGAGGCGGAGGAGGTCACCATGCAAGACTACGACCCAGACGAGTTCAACAACAAGGTGTGTGTGTGTGTGTGTGTGTGTGTGTGTGTGTGTGTGTGTGTGTGTGTGTGTGTGTGTGTGTGTGAGGAGGAGG